TACTGTACTTTTAATGGAAAACATTTGACATGAGTTTTTTGCAGTTTTTTTAAAATCTTTTTTAGTACATTGACAGCAGCTTGGCTCAGTTATTGGTAAAAGGCTGCTTTCTGTTGAAGTCATTTGATCAGTAGACTGTTGTCTGATGACCAAGTTTCCTGTCTAGTCCTGAAAAATTTTACAATTTTATAGTCAATTTTGTTTTCAGCTCTGTCTAAAACTTCCAAACAAAATGTAATTTAGTGAAGCATTCCATTCCATGACTAACTCTATCAAAGAATTTACAAAAGGCGTTTGTGAATAAAAAATTTATAGTTTTTGAAATATGAAATTTATAAATTTCTTAGCAGCACTATCTATTAAACTTTAAGTGGACTTTTTTCTTAACCTTTTAAAAACTCATTTTTTCTTCTTGTTTAATAGTCTTTTAACAGTTGGTTTTTTATTGATAATTTATCTAGTAAAGTGTAAAACTGTGTCAATAATTGCAAAACAATTTAAAAATTAAAAATCAGATAAATTAGTTTCCATTGCGAAAGGTAAAAAACATGCCTGTTGAATCTATAAGCAAAATATTCTACACTTGTAATACCTTCGAAAAAACTATCGTTAAACGTTCTTAACACTTTGAATTTCTTGAAAAAATTTTCAAAAAATTTGCTGTAAAAGGCCCTTTGGTCTATCAAATGAACCACGCACAAAAGCGTATCAAAAACAATATAATTGTATATGAAGCAAAAAGAATTCAAAATTTTGAATTTTCTTCAGTACATTAGGAGCTGTACAGATTGGTGTAAGACGATTTATCTTCAACTGTATGTTTCAATGCTAAATTAAGTAAACTCTTCCAATACGGTGCAATTCAGATTCTATTTGGTATAACAATTTAAAATAGCAAAATTGAAGATAACAAAATATTGGCTAAACTAAATCATTACATGTTTATGAAAAAAGTTTTAGAACACTGCTTTATAGGTGTTGCCAACTTTCTGATTTCTACAGAAAGCAAAGCTACCTCTTTTAAAGCTATCCAACACGTCTGAAGTAATTTTTAAGAATCATCTCTTTCTTTTCATTCTTTACTTTACCACCATTAATATATGCAGAAGTCGCCTGGAAATTTATTAAAGTTACTGTAAGTTATTTTACTTGTAGCTGTAATGTCAGTAATGGAAAATCTGTACGAAATACAGCATATTGGCACTTTGTCGTATGTCTAATAAAACTACGGGGAAGATGGTAATTTAAACAATGTAGGAAGAGGTAATAATCTATTTGATACAACCAATACAAAGCTACAATTTAATGAATACAATGAATACAATAAATTTGATGAAATAGCTGCAGAACGCTGAAGAACTGTAATACGGGAAAAAAAGGGTTTTTTTTCAATGATTGTTACTGAAGAAATTAACAGTTAAGGGGATATTTGATGACACCTTCAAAAGAGAGTTATTACTTCCCATAACACTGGTACTCGCTAATTGGAAACAAAATAAAAAAAAAACAAAAAAAATTTGAAGTCTGTCAACTAGTTTCAAAAGCAGAGTGACAAATGGTGGACATTTTTAATGGAGGAATGTAGGAGAACGAATAAGAGATAAATTAGAAATTACTTTAAAATTTTTTCTTTAATAATCGAGCAGCAGATATGAAGGTTGAAAATAGCAGAACGGCGGTATAAAGAGTGCATAATAAAAAGTTTAGAAAAATGAAGAAATACCTTTTGGTGGAAAAGTTTTCGCTTTTCAACCGTGGTCTGCAAGTATTCAGGGACTTCAAACGATTGTTGGTTAGAACTTCAAATGTAAAATTACGAAAAAACTTCAGTGATTTGAGGGCGCAACGATTGAAAAAGATACTTATACATGCTGTGAGAATATTTTTCTGTATTTCAGAGGAAGAATCAGCGTAAAGCTAGTAAGAAAATATCTTCAGAGATTTTCTAAATCTATAAAGTAGAAAAAGTTCACAGAACATTTAGAAGTACGTTTTTTGCTCTACAAAAAGTTTAAAATTTTGAATTATGACTTCTTTTAATCTTTACGGCTGGGAGAGTATACTTTTCTGTGCGGCATTTCAACCTGCCATTTCTGAAGTGACAAAATCTTGGAAGATTTTAAGAATGAAACGTGTGGCATTAACTGTCAGTGTAGCAAAGTTTTAAAAGGTATTACCAAAAGATTGCAGCAAAAACTGGCTGAGTAGTTTCTGTAGGATGCAGCGTCTAAGATGTATTAAAGTTTATTTCAATTTAAACAGTAAGCCCTTGGGAATGGTATTTTGAACGGAGATAAAAATTAACCTTGAATTTTTTAGTCAGTTTTGAGCAGTTTCCTGAACCACTGAAGTGCTTTTTTTATTTGTCACTACTTGTAATAAAGCGTTCATTTTACTGTATAACATTAAAAACAATTTATAAAAGTGCATGATGATGATTTGTGCTAAATTTAGTTAGAGTTTTTTACTCCGCTGGTTAGCGTCTAATCATAAAATTAAATATTACCGCATTAAATGTGAAACCTTAAGTAAATGTTATGCATATATCAGGAAAGGTTATTCCGGATTAATTTCACTAATTAGGCACAAGCAAGAGGGTCAAGAAAAAATTTTTTTTTATTCTAAAGAGTTTTGCTGATTTTGAGACTGGTGTTGTAAATTTTCAGAAATAAAATTTAACAATCATTCATAATGAACCATTAAACTTACTGTCACTGTATACTGTAATAAAATTCTTCCAATCAAAACCGGAAAATAA